CCTGCTTGAGGCAGGAATAAGGGCTCAGTGCCTACTTCCTCTGCTCTTTTTGGACCTTTTCTGTTTGTAATCCTTGCATCCTCTTCAAGATAGGGAAATGAGTATCTTAGAGAGAAGGTGAGTTGGCGTATTTTGGTCACAGAGTGGTATGGTTATTGCTATAATTCATGGAGCAGATCTGGCCTCGCAGGATCTATTATTGATTTTTTGCAAGCACAGCACTCTTTGACCTCTTGTAGCCAAGTTATTTTCAGGAAGAAAGTTTTATCATCTCAGATTAGTTTATTAACTCGAACCTGGTGATAACTTGTTTATTCTTCAAAATTTACCTTTCGCGTAAGGAAGTATTGATTTTATCTTAATGCAGTGTGAAAATTGTGCCTTTTGCATGCTGTATACTTTAATATCCCACCTGTGAAGGAAAACTGAGGCCTGCTTGGGCCTGCCTTTCTCATTAGTTACTCATTCTTTACACCATGAATTCATAAAAAGCTTTCTTAGGATTTTTTTTTGTTACGAAAAACTGCTCAAGATTGTCATCAATGTATCTTCTGCAAAGTATTCTCTGACTTTCTCGTAGCAAAAAGGATATCCTTGCCGCTAATTTCATCATCCATGAAATCCACTGTAGCAGAAACATTGAAGTGTGCCGCTACTGCGGCGAGTCAGTCCCGAAGTCTGAGATGAAGAATCACATTGAGTCTGAACACATGCAGGTGAGAAACAAATTTCTCCTCTAAAATTAACGACTTCTGCAGCAGTTAATCTAACGAGGTCTGTTTATTTTAGGTTACCTGCAAGTGTAGGATGAAGATGGAAAACAGTCTCTTGAGGGATCATGAGGTTGGTGGACTTTGTATTATTATATACTAGGTATTCATTGTTTGTAGATACTTATTATCTGTAGATATCTACATAGAGAGATTATTTATATTATTGAAAGAAACTCTCCAGTATTTGCAAGCACTGATTCTGGAGACTTTCTGTGAGCCAATACCCGGATTCCAGCCTGTGATTTATGCAGCCTTTTTATTGAACCACACTTCCCAAATTCACGCCTTCTGAGAGGAGGTGGTTGGAAACTAAAATAGGACGTGGTGGGATTTTTGAGTTTCTGAATCCAGTTGGCTGCTGTCACAGGCAATCTTGTAAATGTTAGTACCTTCCCTTCCAGTGGGCTCCTTTAAAGCCAGCTCTGGAAGTGCCACTGAAGCCTGCTTATTGCTGAGGATAAAGGGATTTTCTTTGAAGATAACGTCCAGTTCACAACCCTGGAAGCAGTTTATCTTGCATGTTTGTGTGTGGTGCTTTCAGTTTTGTTTGTAAAGTAAATGATGATGTATTATTGCAGCATCTGCAATTATAATGTGCATTTAACCCTCGCTGAAGGACAGCTTACCCGCCACTCAGTGTAAAGAGCACATGCAAGCAATTCCTGTTGAGCAGTAAGTGAGCTGTAAATCTGTTCCCTAACAGAACACACACAAGCATGCTTTTTAGCAGGACTCCATGAAATGGGATTAGTACTGGATCTCAAGGCCCTATCTAAAGCTGACTTCAAAACGCACTGTGTGAATCTGCTGACCAAGAGTTAGAGATTTTAAAAAAAAATAAATAATGTTCTGAGTGTTTGGAGAGCTGCTGCTGGCATGTTTATGACTATGCAGGTTATAGAACACATTGTTCTTGGATTTCTCACATAGTGTCTTATTTCAGGCTATCCTTTAGTGTCGCTTTGGGTCTGCCTAAAGAAACAATAGACAGCTCAGCTCTCAAGCAAGCTGAGAACCTCCCTCCACATTTGCCTCGGTCTTCCGTATGTGAAGAATAATCCCTCTTTCTCTTTTTGCAGGCATCGGCGTGCCCGCTGCGTCCTGCCCTCTGCCAGTACTGCGACATCCAGCTTCCCTTTGACAAGCTCCATGACCACGAAATTTATTGCGGAGCTCGGACCGAGGCGTGTGGTGCCTGCGGTCGTAACGTCATGGTGAAAGATCTGAAAGAGCATCCTCGAGTCTGCAGGGAAGAGGTGAAACGAGGAAGAGGGCACCGGACAGCACCTCGCTTTGAGGGTGAGGATGCAGATTTGTGTGCCCTTCGAGACATCAGAAACCGGCTGAGATCAGGTAACTATGCTGGGCCTTTGCAGAGGAGGCCTAAGGTGCTAGAAAAGCAGATTTATAGCAGCTGCGTTTGAGACAAAACCCTTAAGGATGTCAGCAGAAGAAATCTTTCAGCAGTACAGAGAAATTAGAAGCGAGATGAAGAGAAATAACTGGCTTCTAGTTTGGTGTTTGACAGCTGGCCCAAGTACGAGGTTTTCCAATTGTTTTCTGTGAAAATATTGAATGCTGAAAGCTCCAGAAGGAGCTCTGAGAAGGACTAGCTCACCATGGCATAGAACCACAGAGGTGTAAGCTAGCTAAAGAGAGGGCTGCAGAGGTTCCTGGTGTGAAAGCCTAGTCCACTGCCTCTTCTTTTGTCTCAAAGTACCTAGCTGAAAAATGAAATTGGAGTTGTTTGCTCATGGCAAATTCCGTTTCTGTTTAGCAGCTGCACTCCTTTTGACTTGACTTCAGGTAGGTAAGAGCTGGCTGTGCTGTGTGTTTCCACAGTAACCTCCTGTTTGGACGTAGCTGAGACTGACCAAAGCCTCTGCTCTTTCCTAAGCCTCTAATCTCTTACCTCCACGTGCAGGGAGTCATGTCGCCTGTAAGACGCAGCCTTTCCACGAGCTCTCGGCTGAATCCGTGCTCTCCTTCACGCTGTGTGCCGCTCAGAGGATTTAACGCTGCACAACACTAAATTACAGTCTCAGCTGTAGAAGACTGTCCAGCTTGTAGAAATAACCTCTGGACTTAGATAATAAAACTTAATAATCTGGAGAGCTGTAACTCACAGGCTGCTTACGCTAACTTTGAAAGAGTGCTCACAAGTAGTATTTTTATGCACATATACTTTAAAATTCTCACATAATCAGTACAAATGAAATACCAGAGGGATCTGAAATGGGGCAGCATGGCTGAGGAGCGCTCAGCCTGTCTTTTGGCACCATTGATTGACTCTTGGGCCCTGTTCTGGAGCCCTGATTTTCTTTTCGGTGTAGCTTTCCTACCAAAAACCATTCCATGCTTTTCTTCTGTACATGTATAATTTCCCCACTGTTGTCAAACGTAATATTGTTACAAGGAATTGACTTTCCCATTGATAACACTGAAAAAAACAAAGCTAAAGTGTTTCAGCCTTGTAAAAGGCATGAGACTGCAGTATGTAAAAACTGGACCTTACTCACCGTGTAGGTCATGGAAGGTTCCTCAGTGAATTTTTAAAGCTCCCAAGAAACTTTAAGTTCAAGCTTGTGGAGTAAGAGGAACAACTTCCTTAATTTTCTCCTTTTTAGCTTGTTATGAACAAAAATAGGATGGCTATTTTCCTTCTTCCTCCTGAATGTGATACAGGGGTTCTTCTAGGCTTTGAAACGCTGAGCTCCGTGAGCATCCACATGCGGGACCTTCGGGGTTGAGTTATTCTAATGTCCTTGAGGGAACTGCTTGTTTCAGGCTTAACGTTCTCTCAAACTTACGATATTTATCTTTTGAAGAGCATGAACTGGAGCAGTTGGAGAGAAATGAAAACAATCATTCTTCATTTTACGACGAATGGAACGCTGATTTAGACTACGTGCTGGCCCTTAGCCTCCAGAGTGAGAATAATCCTCCTGATAATGCTGCAGCTGAAATGTCCAGTGACTTCTGGGAGAACTGCTACACCAAAGAGTCTGTGCCATCTGCCTGTCTTAATGAAACAGACAAGTCAAATATCTTCTCCTGTGACTCTTCAGGGTCTTTTAGCACATCAAACTACAGAAAAAGTAAGTATAAACGCTGTTGTGGTGTTTTGTTGTATGTTTTTCCTTAAAGCTTGGGGGAAGGGAGAAGGAAAAAGAGGATTCATGGACTGGGTATGTCACAGATGATCTAGGTATTTTAAAATGTTGGAATTGATCTGTTTGAGATTCCCTCTAAATCATTTTTAGATAATTAATGCCCAGCAGATTAGACTCTCCATGAATACATTCTTCCTTCCTTTCTGAAACTGTCTCAAACCTTAGCAATGTTAGTGTTTAAAAGATTCTTTCAAAGAGATATTGCTAAAGCAGCACAGCAAGGGAAGAAGAAATAAAATCTGTAGTGAATCTCTGAGCTTAGGATCTGGTGAGAGCTTTCTACCAATTGAGTAGGTGACAATTTTCTTGTGGAAATAAGTGTGATAGGAAGGGAGGATCTGGGCGAGAGCAAAGAACCTGTTTATTTTGAGAGGAGAAGCAGCACCGAAGGATTTATTGAAGGCAGTAATTGGCTTTCTGACAAGACCATTCGATATATCTTGGACCCCAAAACACTGTTCTCGCCCTGGGTGCTATGCATTTGCTTCTGTGAACTTCAGTGAGCAGGACTACAGCAACTGTTCCCTTTGCATTCACTGTGGTTGCTGTCCTGCAGCACGGAGGAGTCTGTCGCGTAGGAATTTTAAAGATCCAGTCCAACCGCGCTGAACTCCTCCAAGGTGGAAGACGTAACTTTTCTGTACTTTTCAGACAATGAGATCATCATGTTGCCGTGTGAATTCTGCGAGGAGCTCTGCCCCGCCGAAGATCTGATTCTTCACCAGGTTTAGTACTTTCTTTAGTCCTTTCAGTCTGTCTGTGCTCAACAGGAGAGCTCATTTTTTTTTTCCCATGTTGCTTATGTAACAGACAGGTTGTAACCCTGCAAGTGCCTTCGCCTCATTTAGTAAAAGAAGTTCTCCAAATCCACGAGGATATGATGGTCTGCGTGCTGCTGGGTCCAAGAGCTGGAGATCTCTCTCTTCATCCCAGCCCCGAGCTGTCCAGGCAGAAGGAGACGTTTTGATTCCGTGTGAATTTTGTGGCATCCAGCTGGAGGAGGAGACGCTCTTTCATCATCAGGTACGGAACAGGACTTGATCTGTTGTGTCACACCAGTTGTTGAAGAACTGGGCCGGGTCCTGCGGCCTCTTGTTGTGGCATGTTTGAGGAATGCAAGCGATTGTCCCTTGCGTCAGATCTTCCTAAACAAAGCCTCTTGGGTCCCATCTAAAATGCTGCAGTGTGCTGAGGCTCTGACTGAAAAAATAACAATTCTTTTCAAAGCTTTTGAAGCTAAACAAAAGGCCCCAAAATGGCACAATAGAAATGTTTGAATTGCATGAAAAAGTTGTGTTGAAAGCAGGATGTGTGAATCATGGCTAAGGAGGAGGAGGAGCCCAACCTGTGGAGGTAAGAGAGGAAGTAGGCACCACAGGTGACACATCTAGGAGATGGAGGAATGTCTCAGAGGGGAGATGTGAAGAGAAAGAAATGTGTAAGAAGGGAGATGTGTAAGAATGTGAATAAGAGAGAAGCAGTGGATTTATGAAGTGACAGGCGCTGTAGAGTGCGTGCGAGGGTGTTCCAGCTCTTCTGTCACTGCTGCCTGATACTTCTAATGTGGAAAGAACATCAGGTCTTGGTGCTGCTGGAGGTGTTACTGCACTGATGGCACCGATACCAGGTTGGTATGGGGAGCTGACCAGAACTGTTGTGTCGGTACTTGCGGGCTGCTTTCCCTGGCTTTGCAGGGTTGTTCTTAGGTGTGAGTGGCAGAGAGTGTGTAGTTGTTGGCAGGCTGGCAGCGAGGCCCCACGTACAGGCAGGCGTTGTGCCAGGGGAGTTTTAGATCGACTATTAAGAAAAAATTCTTTACTGGAAGAGTGGTGAAGCATTGGAACAGACTACCTGGGGCAGTGGTGGAGCCACCATCCCTAGGGGTGTTCAAAAAATGTCTCATCATGGCACTTCAAGACATGGTTTAGTGGTCATGGTAGTGTTGGGTTGATGGTTGGACCTGTTGATCTTGGAGGTCTTTTCCAACCTTAACGGTTCTGTTCTATGAGCTCTGATAGCTGGTGATTGCTCCTAAGCTCTGTGTAAGAGAAAACATGGGTGTTAGTGTTAGTGAGCTTTACCTGCCACTTTCTCAAAGCCATTCCCTGTTAACCTGACTGTGTCTGAGGGGTGATGCTCCACAGTGCTTTCACAGGAGTAAGTCTCAACAAGCTGTCGGTTAAATGGTCAAATGTATGTTTTGCTGTAGCTCCACTGTGACCTGCGCCCCGCCAGCCCTGCAGCCAGCTTTCCATCTCGGCAACCACTGTCTCCTCAAGCCAACCGAGAGAAGAGACAATCACCAGAACTGCCTCGGAGACGACTCAGGCACCAAGGTGTGGGCAAAACGCAGGCTTACACATGCTCCTGTCCTTTCCCTCTGCAGGAAGATTGTGCATATTCTGAGCAGAATAGATGTTGTTACCCTCTTCCATCTCCAAAATTTAAAAATCTTCAATCCCCTACCATTAGTCTAGTTTTATGCAAGAAATAACAAATTACTGAAACTCAGTATCCTCAAAGATACTGGTTATGAAACTATGTGCTGCTGGAGAGGAAATTAGGTCTAGTTTTGTTATCCCAATGGCTCATGCTGCATTTACTGTTCCTATTAAGTGCTGTATTCTTGTCTCCTCAGGAGATGTTTCTCCTGGGCGCACAGAAGGCTTTGGGCAGCAGAGGCTCAACTATCTCGCCCAAGGGACCAAGTCACTAAATAATACAGCAAACACCCAGAATGCACCGTCATCCTCTTCGGCAAGAGCTGGCAACGCTCCCTCCTTGAGAGAGAAGCCCAGGAAGGCGGCTGGCAGCGAGGGAAGAGGGAGGCCCAGAGGTGCAGGCGGATTCGCAGGTGGGACGGCGCCACGTGCGAGGCCTCCTGCTCAGGACTTTGGTTCAGAAGCCTTCACATCCATCTTCTCCAAAACTTCTCCAGCCCAACCAAGGTAACGCCTTTGTCTTCTGTTTCCATCAGCTGTGCTGGGCCTGCCCTAAGGGGTCAGGGAGCTGTGGCGCTGTAGGAGCAAGCTTCGGGCATTCTGATCCTCAGATGGCAGCAACCTGACAGTGACAAATCCCGTCCAGTCCCCACGTTGCTTCCTTATGGTGCCAGTCTGGATTCCCTCGTATTTGCCTGTGGCTGAAAGGTTTTCACCCCGTTTAATTTGGCTGGTGCTTACCTGAGTTTCAGACAGCAAATTTTAGGCTTTTATGTCAAAGTAGAATGGACAAAATGGTCACTGGGGAAGGAAGAAAAAAAAAAAAGTAGAACGCCTTGTCATCTGTCGCTTATAGCCTCTCAGCTTTTCTCTTTGCTCGTGGAATAGGATCTGGTTCTTCTGCTACCCTGGGTCAGGGTTCAGGAGAAACACGAAGGGCTTCTCCCTCAACCTTCCACTGTTCCCCTGGTGTGAAGGGCCCATGTTTATGAAGCAGTAAGAGCAGTGACAGGGGTGGGCTTGCTTCCTCTGAGAGTGTTCCCGCTCCTCTTCTCTAGCACCAACACCAGAGGAGGAAGGAGCCTCAGGATGTCAGACGTTCCCATTGGCTTCAGCCGCAGGAGGACCAAGGTGAGGCAGCAGCGCAGCGCTCCGCTCCCTGGTGGGTGCAGGCTGGGCGGCTCTGCTCAGGGCTCTCAGGGCAGGGCCTGGCTGCTGCCCCTGTGGGGTTTTGCCGGGACAAGGAGCTGACCTTCTAGTCCTTCCTGCTTCAGCAAGGCTTTTATCAATTCCTTCTTATCAAGTGCTCTTTGAAAACAGCTTTTTTTACTTTTTTTTTTCTTCCTCTTCCCTCGAGGCAAAAGCCCAGAGCCCAGCATCTGGACATCCAGAGGAGAAGTGATCCACCTTGTTTACTGCTCGACACGCTGCGACTATGGTACTCATTTATCTGAGCGCGAGTAAATTCTTATATTGCTGTGTCATCATAGACTTTCTACAAATCTAAATTTTTGTAGGCAGCGATCCTTTTATATCTATCTGTATTTTTAACGTGTGAGAGTCCACTACAGGTTTGTATGTCTGTAAGCTGTACTAGCAGCAGCCCAAGGCAGCAAATTTGCGTCTGCCTTGGGAAGCACCAGCATCACGTCCCTGTTCTGGCTCCTTGGGACACCTACTGCCAGAGAATCGGTGACGTGCTGAGCTTCAAGCGCCTGTCTTGCTGTGCTTGTGTGGGTCATTATTCTCAGAACACCACCAACACATGCAAACCGGCAGCAAGTGCTCAGCCGGGACACGGCTCCGGGGAGATGTGGGCCTTGTACCGGTGCCACAGGGAGCCCCCAGCACATGGAGAGGGGGATTGTCACTGTCAGCCCAGGGCTGTCTTGTAAAATGCTTTTTAATGCTGTAATCGTCCAGGCTTTTTAAATCCCTTTTAATAAATTCTGTCTAATGCTGTGGAGGTAAAGATCTATGCCCTCGAGTGATGCGAGGTCACAAGCGCCCTGTGAGGGTTCGGTTCCTGCCTCACGCCTGGCCTTGCCCGATTCACAGCCTGTGAGCATCGTTAATTTATTGTGTTCCGCTGTTACTACCTGCCTTAGGTCTTGGTAATTTGCTTTACGAGCGCTGCTGGCATCCCTTGTCCTTCAGGTAACGCCAAAGCTGGAGCAAGCAGATCTTAGATAATGACTATGGGCATCAGCTTAATTAACGGGCCAGCACAGATGCTATTAGCAGGGCTAATTAGCTGGTCACCCTCCTAGGGCAGGGCTGGGACCAGTGGCCCTGGCTCAGCCCTGTCCCCTGTGGAAGACTAATGAGGGCTGAAGTGCTTTTGCTTCTAAAATGAAGACATTTTACAGCTGCTTCTTCCACCAAATGTAAGCGTTTATTTATACAAGAAAAGCAGGATAAAGGTGTTTAGAAACAGGCGCTGGTGTTTCTGGGGAAAATTGCTCTGGCAAGAGAAGGGAAGCTAAGCTGGCTCGTCTCGGGCATGAAGGTTAACGGGACGCCTCGGTTCTGGAAGTGTTAGTATGAAAAAGAACTACCAAGCTGACACCGGGTCTGAGGCTGCGTTAGTCCTCAGGCATGAGAAATACCGCACTTTCCCTTTTGTAAAAACTATTTACATTCCTGTTACCAGTAAATACAAATTACAGTGTATAATTAACCCAGCATCGTGGGATTTTAAAAGCAGATGACCTCCAGCTTCACCTCTGGCTGTTCACATCCTCTGCAGGAGTGCAACTTCGGCAGCAGAGAATTTCTTTCCTTAGTTTCCAGCCCCAAAGAAGGACACGATACATCTCACGGGATGTTAAGAATCTCCTTTATGCAAGTGTACACTCTATGGCCAAGAGCACTTAACAGGTTAACGCCGTGAACGGTACCGAGATGGACACACACCAAGCTAGAACTAATACCCAGCTCCGAAGTTTTGCCATTGTTTAGTATAATTTTACATTCTGAATGAATATATATTTAAAAAATAAAATAACTCACAAACCGATCTTCGCTTTGACAAACAAGCCTATTACAGACAATGTCAAGTTCATTTAAAGCACGAGGAATTAATGATGATTAGAAAAGCTTTAATTAAAAGGCCATTGGAGCTACAGTTGAGCCACTGCAGCACTTCCTTCAGAGTAACATAAAAAACAACAAAAGCCCAGCTGCCCCCCCACCTCATTCTCTTGCAGGGCTCACACCATTCTTCAGAAGAAAACAGAGTAGATGAAGGTTATTTATTGGCGTGACATTTTTCCTGTATAAGAAGCTTCATTTACACAGCGAGGTGTAAACGGCATCGGCTAAAAGTTTGTTATTTGTAATCATAAATAATCCATTGTAATAAATACGTAATAAAGTAACTTTACAGCAGGATGTGCAGGGCCCGGATACAGATACATCCCTCTCGGACGGGAGAAGACAGACATCGGCAGCAGCGGTTTTGCTCGTGGCTGTAATCCCTCACTGGCACACGGGGTCCCAGAGCCCCCTGGGGCCACCTAGAGCATCAGGGGCTTGAAAAGGGGCGATTTAAACCTGATACAAACCCACGATCCCCTCGCCAGGAAGAAATCACAGATGTTTTTGCCGTCAGCAAGGGCAGCTCTGCTCCAAAATTCAGCTCCTGTTGGGGAGCGCAGGGGCCTGGTGGGACAAAACCAGCTGCGAGCCATCGCTCCTGCTCAGTTTTCCCCTCGGTCTTTGTAAACTCCGTGTGTGTCAGCGCTTACTCCGAGCAAGTTCTCAGCTACATCTATGCTTCTACCAGGAAACGGACAAGATTTCAGAGTAAATATTCTTCCTACATGGATCTGTTCCTTTGAAAGGGCAAGATAATAGAGAAGGGCAACACAGCTTTCCTAACCACGGGATCTGGAGACTCCATCTGCCAACAACTACCTCTACAACTGTCGCACACAGTTTCCCATTCGCTCACAGGAGGACAAGAATATACACACTTGTTTAGGCTTTTCTCTCTTACTCACATTTTATCTTGCAAGCACCACGCGCTCATCGTTCCGAATATTCACAATAATATACAATAAATACAGCTTTTTCAATTTTCCCGTTACCACTGACGAGCTGAATTAGCGTGTGCCCTTGTCAGAAGAGCCACACAACCCCGACCTTGGGGTACAGTCACCCGCACCCCGCCGCGGACCTCTCCTGCAGCCCACGCGCACTGAGCGCACCCGGAGGGAAAAATTGCACCCGCGGAGCTCGGCGCTGGCACTTCTCTGACAGGTAGCACCGAGCCGCGGCAGCGATCACAGTCTGTTCTCTTCGCTTCTTCAGCACGCGGGTAATTCGCGTTTGTGCTGGGTTTTAAGTGATTAAACAAAGCAACGTCGCGCTTTTCAAGGTGCCCGGTACCAGGCAACCAGGCAACTGGTTTTTTTATACGAGAAAAGGAAGATACACGTGTTGATGTGCTGTTTGGAAATCACCCCAGGGTGTGTTTCACGACAGACAAAAGTTAAACCTAGAGAATCGTCCTCTCTCTCTCCCCATAGTCTGCGATTATTTCTCCGCAGAAAATAGAAGTTTTATCTCCAAACATGTAATTTTCTGCCTTCCTCCCACCTCATGGATGTCACATTTCTCAGATAATTTGATCTAAGAGCATTTTTGAGTACAAAAATGAGTTACAGGTGTTTAACCCCACACCAGTTCTTCTGAAAGCTTCTCCAGAAATACGAGAAAGTCACAGGTTATAAGCTGGAACTGTGGTATCTTACACCGTACAGAGAGAAGCCGTTTTGTTTCTGCTGATATTTTAATTACAATAAATTATTTTCTTACTAAGCAAAGCAGACATTCAAGAACATCCAGGGCAAGAACCCAACTGAATTATGGCCCTTTCACTGTTCTTTCAATTGCAAATCTCCCTCATCAAAAGTGTCCAGCTGAAACCCCCGCTACCTGCAGTGCCTCCCCACGTGCACGCTTTCAATTTAAAAAGTTGCAAGAAAACAGTGGAAACATAAACATGCAGTTTGGCAGCGGATTTTCTGCTCTAAAACTCAGGCAAGTGCTAGAAATCCTGCATGACATCCGCCTGCGACGGAAGAGGCACCGTGCTCCGTTCTCACAGCGATTCCCTCCCTGCACCCGATTCTTTCCCATTTTTGTACTCAAAAGTATTTCAGGGGAGAGCGATCTACGAGCCTTCGCCTCCGAGTGCTCCCCGACTCGGAATGCCCTCGCTCTCATTGTGTTCGTGTGGGTAAATATCGTTCTAAATTACAAAATTAGAAATGTACATGTTTCAAGGTTTTTCAAAATTAAATTATACACAAACCGGTCTTTTACTAAACTATCCTACAAATATTCCACAAACAAGGCAGCAAAAGAACCAGTCCACCACAAAGTCTACGAATACAAAATGTTAAGTCTTCCAGTAATTATCGTAACGGGAACGAAAGTTCGGAAAATAAATTAACCTCCACCTCTTCACATAGCATTAAACCAGGAGGTATTTTTATGCAAATCGAAAGGTTTGCAAACGATCCCAACGATCACCTTGAGGCAGCGCCGCCTCCCCTCAGCCGCTGAGCGGGTCCTCTCGGTAGTGGATGGCGTAGCGGAGCTTCTCCAGCATGATGTCCAGCGAGGAGTACTGAGGAAGTTTGATCATGAACATGCATGTCTCGACGCGGATGTACCGAGAGTCTGGAGAACCTGCAGGGAGGAAGCACCAGGACGGGGCTGAAGCGGCCCGAAGATGCTTCTTGCCTTGTTCTGAAAAAGCCTCCTGCCCCCACGCCCCCCTCTTTGAGAAGTATCAAAACAAAAAACCTCCTTCCTGTGTCTTAAACTCTGCCGTGCTTCTCCAGGAGTCCTCAGGCCAGGATTTTTCTGATAGTCCAATTGTTTTAAAATTATACGAGACAAATATTACACCAGGTCTCTTACCGTCTCTGGAGGCCAACGTTTTATGTGTTCTAAAAACCAGTTCCCTTGCTTAGCTACAGCTATAACCACCCGCCTCTCCTTTGTCATTCTTTCTGCATTAAATACTTGTTTAAATTCCAAGAAGGGGGAACCGAAAGCCAGAATCACAACTCAAGCAGAGCTGATCTGCTTCGCAAACGCACCTGCGGCTCCATCAGGGGGCGCGATTTTCATGGGATATGGTGGGACGTGAGCGGTGTCGGGGCCTCCATCCTTGCAGGGGCAGGTGAAGGGGATCCGCTCCTGGTTACAGGCGAACTTGATGAACTTGCAGAGCTCCTCCTGAGTGAACATCTCAAGTGCGCTCCAGAAAAACTCGATGTGCTGATCCGTTTCCATCAAGCCCACCTGGTACATGGTGTGTGCCTAAGGGAAGGGAAAGCGAGATGTTCCCCTGCCACTTCCTTTTCCCTTTGGAACACATTGAGAAGACAGAAAGGGAGGTGGCCACCCCTCTCTACCCAGGCCTTCCTGCCTTTTC